GTTTCCTCATGTGAAAACTGGACAGTCATTCCAGATGACCTCTAAGCTTCCTTTCAGGTCTTTAAAACAACAACAACAACAACAACTATATTCTATGAAACAAGTATTTTAATGCATAAACATAAGGAACTGGATATTTTGTTTCAGAAACTCAGATTTCTAGTAAGCTATCTGGAACAACACTTAAGGGAATTTTTACCTCCTTTCACTCTAGGAACACATCAATGAGCATTTGGGAATTAGTTCTTAGAATGTAGATGGATTTTTAACTTTCAAATAAGATCGCAAAATATTTTGCTTATTGAAACATAAGAGAACATGGATTATTGGAACATGGACTAAACATGCTGGACTAAAAGACTCTAAATGCATCATCCTCCCCATTTGAACAAATTCAGAATGTGATATTCAACCTTCAAGTCCAGCCTGAAAAAAAGAACGTGTAACAAAGTTTTATTTTGGAAATCTTCATAAATACAATCTAAAGACCAAAGTGGGATTATGAGGTCCTATCTATAAATCTTTATGGAAACAATCACTTCAGATTCTGGTGACAAAAGTAGCTACATCCCAGCAACAGGGTTTCATAACAAAAATTAAAAAATAGAACTATAAAATCTTGGGGAATGAGTTACTATGGTAATATAACATGGATTATTTGAGGTGGGAAGAAGAGTCAGGATTCAAGTAAAGTGGGAGAAATGATGAGATTTGGCATATTAAAATAACTAAGAAACTGAAAGTATAGCCAAGGAGTAATAGACTCGAGATGAATCTCACACATAAGCCATTCCCCTATTACTCATAAACCATTCAGCTATGTTCTTTTCTGATTTAAAAGGACTTCAGTGTCAAGATCTCTTGTAGATCACTACCAAATGAACTGGTTGAAAAGATGCAAGTAGGCCAGAGAAGCTATCAGAGCCAATGTCAATGAGGTTTCCAAAACAGATCGTTTTTGTGGTTAGTTTCAGAAGAGGATTCTCTTTTGAAGTTTCTTATTATGGCGAATGATGCCTATTTCAGGCTCAAAAGAGGAAATTTTGAATGAATTCATTGCATTCAATTAAATTAAAAATATCTATTGGGCAGCTAATATGTTTATGACCTATAGCCACTCAGACCATAAATAAAATGCATATACAAAGCAGCAGTTGTGAATAAATTAACTGTATCAAAAACTTGCTTCACTATGAGCCATACACCTTAAAATGCAGATAAGTAACTCAGATTTACAAGGCTCTGATATCAAGTGGGTGTGGCATTCCAGCAATACCAAATCACAAGAACTTAAGGAGATCTTGGGATGTTGTACCTATGAATTAAAATGCTAGATGAGCAAGAAAGTAGTTTCACAAAAATGTAAAGCTAATCACTTTGTTCACATCTGTTTCCTCTTACTTCTCTCTTTGCATAGATTTTAGGCCACCATAGAGCTAGACCCATCCCTGAAACATATTAGCTTGATCCTAGGCAAACCCCAGGAATGGGAAACCTGTGGCTTCAAAGCCATATGTTGTCCTCTAGGTCCTCAAGTGCGGCCTTTTGACTTAATCCAAATTTCACAGAACAAATCCCCTTAATAAAAGGATTTGTTCAGACTCAGTCAAAAGGCCACACTCAAGGACCTAGAAGGCCCCAAGTGGCCTCGAGGCTGCAGGTTCTCCATCCCTGCCTAACCTCTCAGTTGTTCTAGGCAGCTCTCAAAGACTTGCAGAGACAATGCTGACTTGCTTTGATGTTAGGGATTTTCCTCCTCTGGGAGTTCTCTAAATTAATGAAATCACTGGTCCAGTCTTTATCCCTATGCTATAAAGCAAATACTTATTTTGCGCATATAAATATATCGGGGAGAAGAAAATGGCAGTGGAGGTATTGGCTCCTAAAACAGCTCAACACACAAATCCACCAACAAATACTTGGTTAGTACATAGCTTTAGACTAGGATTGCTTAATTTTTTTGGTGTCACAGACCCCTATGGCAGTCTGATGGAGACTATGAACCCCTTCTCAGGAAGTTTCTGAGTGCATAAAATAAAGTACATAGGATTACAAAGAAAACCAATTATACTGAAATGAAGTTATCAGAGTATTTTTTTAAATGTCACAGACCTAAAGTTAAGAATCTGTACTTTAGACACACCCTATTAAAAAAAAAAGTTAGGTTCAATATGCGAATTATTTGTGGAACTATTTGGTTATAGCCTTTAAATAATGTTGTGGAGCAAGAGCTGCAAAACAAAAGCTATTTCCAGATGCCATAAATGGTGATGTTGGTGCACAAAGCTGTCTGCACATAGGATAATAAAAAGGTTGAAGCTGTTCTTATAACAACATGCCTGGATTTCCAAAGAAAAACATTCCAAATGTCCAAAAAGCTTCTTGCCAGTGGAAAAAAATGACAATCATAAGAAAAAGTAGCTACTTAGAAATAAAATAAAAATGAATTGCAAATGCCTCCAACATCATCCCATATTCGAAACGTAGGCATTTTAAAAGTTCTTACCTTATTTAAAGTGTAATTCTTAGCTTAATGGCTTTTAGTGAAAGTATAAATAATTATGGCAAAATAACTTTTGATATTGTAAATAATTTTTTGTTCAGTAGTGTCTGACCCTATTTGGGGTTTTTTTTGGCAAAGATACTGGAGTGGTTTACCATTTCTTTCTCCAGCTCATTTTTTTTTTTTTTGGCAGATGAGGAAACTGAGGCAAACAGAGTTAAGTGACTTGCCCAGGGTCACACAGCTAGTAAGTAGCTAAAGCCAGATTTGAACTCAGGAAGATGAGTTTTCCTGACTTCAGGCCCAGCACTCTATCCACTCTGCTATCTAGCTGCCCTATTAAAAAACTGGGAAAGTCAGATAAGAATCAATGCTGACACTAGAATTTCTATTAGGAAACCAACCACCTTCCCTATAAGTGGAACGGGAAATAGTGCTGAATTTGTGAACACAAGTTTGTGTTCAGCCTCTCCACCATTACTTGTGAGACTTTGAACAAATCACTTCCCTAGACTTGTTTCCTCATCTTTTAAAATGGAGGTTTGATTGGATGATTTTAGGATCCTCTGTGTTGTAATTCTATAATCCTATATGTCTTTCCTTTAAAAGTGGCCACTATACTACACCAAAACCTAAGAAGATAAGAAAATAAGAATTTAAGAGAATTTATTTTTGGGAGAACTAAAAGAATAGTGTTATATGTGTTTTCCATGAAAGTATGTATTCAGAAAGATTAGAAATGGGCATTGTTAACAAGGATGTAAACTGGTTGTTGAATTTATTGGGTAGAAGAATTCATCTTTGATCAATTATTCTAAGCCTAATGACTCCATTTCCATTATAAGCAAAGGCCCATCTTTTTAATACTAATATGTTTAAATTATACCAGTTTGGCTGTACAATAGCAAGATATGGAATATACGCTTATAGAATTAGAAATGAATATCATGCAGACAATAATGGAGACGCTCATTGTGGGTATGAGCTGGCTGTAACACATAACCAGAGAGGAACTTCAAAGAACATGGCTAAAAGATATAAGGAATTGTACAACAGGAAGAGTAGATGGGCTGGTCACGTGGCAAAAGATGACAAATGGACAGCCAAAGTGTTTCACTGGTATCAAGAGAAACCAAGAAGGCCTCCATTATGTTGGGTAGACTTCCTGTGGTGAATACAGGAGGACAATGGGCAAGACTTGTACAAGATAGGCAGGCATGGATGGGTTGAAATCTGTATCATCAGAAAGAATTTCCAAATTTATGATAAATTTCCATTTAAGTATTTAAGTATGAGCAAATCTAAACATTTTACTTGTCTAATATCTTAAAGCAAACAATTCAGTTCAGGAAAACAAATAATGCTTCTTCAAATGGAGCCTCATACTACAACAAATGGAATGAGGATACTTGAGTTTTCGTTTAAAAATCAGGACTCTCTATTTCAATTTCTTTATTTGGCAACAAATGTCTCTCCAGTGATTATGTGGTAACCCCTAGTCCACCCTAGGGAGAGGAAAGGAAATCCACACATAAAACTTACATGCCCAAGGGAGATTTAATGAAGGTTATTCTTTATACTCAGTTGGAAAAAGGAGTGGTTTACTTTGGGCCTCTAGAGGTCCAGATTGGGGAGTTGTGATGTCACAATTCCCCAAGTTCGGGTGGTATGACAGCTCCAAAGTTGCTTCTCAGCTTTTCTTTTTGAGTAAGAAAAAATTCCTTCTCTGGCCTGTTAGAAATGCTCCTTCCTTTTGGGGAGTTTCTAGAATGGCTTGGTGGGACAAAGTGTTATTTGCTATCTCTGCTATGTTTTGGAATCTTCAAGTGCAGTAATTAAGGTGGACAAAAGTACGGTACTAGAATGTTTCTTAAGTTAAATAACAAAGCAGTCATTTTGGCCCAGATGGACACTTATCTATGAAGCAATTGGGAGAAGAAAGGGGAAACTTTTTTAGATGGTTTCAGAGGTAAAAACAAAGATCAAGGGGGTGGGACGTTGAGGTGCATGCTTATAATTCCAAGTACCAGGGAGGCTTAGGCTGAAGCAGCTCTTGAACTTGGATGTTTTAAACCGCAGAGAACTACCTAGATCATAAGTTAACACTTAGTTCAGGGGTCAGGAACCACCAGGATACGCAGAGAGGGACAAATAAGACTAAGCTGGAAGTGAAGCAGGTCAAAATTCCTACGCTGAACAGCAGAGAGATCAGGCCTGTAGGCAGCACTTGAATGTCCAACCTGGGCAACACAGGGAAATCCAGCATTTTTTAAAAATCAGAAATTAACTCTTCCAGGATTCATGCCACTTATCTAGAAAGTGTCAGCAAAATGACATTGGGTTGTTCTTTCACAGGAGGAATCAAAGGCCTCTCTGAGGTGTTGATAATTCATAAAGCAAAAAAGAAAATTACAAACCTTAATCACAAGCAAAAAAAAAAAAACACCTGAGTTCATTTTATTTTTTATTTTAAAAATATATATACTATAAAAATTCCATTTTGTAAAAAATGGAATGATTTTATTAGAAGATGCGTTACTACATGTAATAAGTAATTAGTAATACTTTCAGCTTCGTGTGCATGTTGTTTGTGGCTCCTTTTTTGTCATATATGGCCTAGTGTCCTCCCAGGAAATCATCTGGAAATGAAGATAACTACATATTCATCTACACAGGCCAGACAGGATCCTAAGGAAGAGTTACAAAAAAGGAGAGAAAGTCCTTGAAAATGATTAATAGTCTGCTCTTGCTGTCTTCTTACAGGCCACAGAAAATAGATTTTAAGGAAGTTTTACACAGAGCAGAAAAACACTGTCACTTTCTCACCGAAGCCTCAGGGTGGCAGCTAGTCAGCATCACAGACGTAAATTGTGAGAAAATAAGGCTGATAGAAAAATTACTGATATTTATGTGGTTTTTAAATAAAGTGCACCTATATTCATGGTAAGTGGACTAGGGAATTTATATACTTAGGAGAAAAAAAAATCCACATCTGGGGTTAGACAGCTTAATGTCATTTTTCAGTCTTTTAATCAATAGCCAGCTTCATGCTTCCATTCACTAAAATATTTCTGCATCGTATTCCTGGATTTCCAGGAACCAACATTTACTGTAGATATGATTTTTTGTGGCTTTAGCCACTGGACAAAGCGCTTCATTTCTAGGTAACTGCTATGTTCACTGTAAGGAATTCCTGCAATACAAAAAGGAAAATAGTCATTGCTGTACTAAAATCACATTTACCACAAATAAATTTTACATGCAAGAAACTTTAAAATTTCAAAATCTTTTGCCAGACATATAATGATTTATACTTCCTATCACAAATAAAGAAGACTTGTTCACTAGCAAACTAGTACTAAACTATTCCTTTGCTAGATCCACTCTTATTTAGATTCTCTTAATTAGGCCCTTCTTCCTCATTTTAATATTTTCTCATTGATAACTCTTTCTTCAGAGCTCTATCTCTAGTCTATAGATTCTAAGTATTTGGGAGGAACTATGGATGACGCAGGATGAAGATCCTGAAACTCTTGATTTCTGATAAATCAAAAGAAGATAAAGAAAAAGAGAGAGGAGTAGAAAGCTTCTCTTTACCATCACTAGCAGGTCAATGATTATGTGGAGGAGTCACACTAGAGGATATAGGTCTAAAATTAGAAATGGAGTTCTTAGAGGCTAACAGGGGCCCTCTCAAATGGGCCCACTGACATACAAAAGAAACATATGCTTAAGCTTGCCTTTTACTGAAGAATGACTTTTGGGAAGAAAACCTGAGAAATTAAGACTAAAAATAACCCAGATGACAAAGGTCTGATATTTAAAATCAATTTCCACAACAACATACCAAACCTGACACCTTCCTGTTTTTAATCTCAAAAAAAAAAAAAAAAAAAAAGAGCCAAAGCTTCCTGGCTGCATGATCGCCTACTATTTACTTTTAAGAGTTTTCACAGTTCCCTTAAATGTATCACCAGTGACAAAAACCAGGATTGAAGCATTATTTCTATTATTTAATTCTATGATAGACAGATTCCTTCACATCATCAAGTAATTTTATAAAATTTACCAGGTATCTTTTTAAATATCAAAGATATATTTCATATAATATATTCAAAGGATAGAAAAAACCTTGGAACACTAGTGGTTTCTTAGTGTATTCTGCAATATTCTAGAATTAGCGATTAATGAATTATTTTTTCCTAGATCTTGTTTTCAACCTCTGGTAAATTGTAAAGTCATCATGGATATGAAAAATGGAAGAGTTTAAATACTTATACCATATATCGAAATATTTCCTTTGGTTTGGGGAACAATATCTGCTAAACAGCCAAACTTCTCAGAATGTGTCCACCCCGTAGGTCGGAAAGCCAAAATGCGATCATATTTCCCATCACACTTGTTCAAATGGTTCTGCAAACCCTGTCAAATAAAAACAATATAATGATCCAGTGATAAAGGTTGATGAATTGTATGAAAATATAAAGATAAAAAAGGTGAACTGCATCAACATCCATAGGAAATGTCTACTTTTACATGTTAAATGTCAGGTAGCAACAACTAAGTAACACTCCTAAAAATGTATTAAAATATTCTTTTCTGTTTATTTAGCTGAATCTAAACACTGTCTTAGAATAGACTTGAAAATATGGAAGGGGCCTAAAATACATTTAGAGAATAAATTTAGAGTTAGAAAGGTCTTTATTATTAATCTAGTTCAACACCTAGGAACCAGATAAAGAAAATGAGGACCAAGGTGTTTACTTTGTGCCATGCACTGTGCTGCGAATAAAAAGAGAAAGAATGATTGCCCCTGCTTTCAAAGAGTTCATATTCTAATTGGAAGTGACAACATATATAGAAGAGTACCACTGCAGGGAAGCCTAGTAGTTTTTAGGGAGCATCAGCAGGGCTGACAGCAAGGCCCAAGTATCTTTAGAGTAGAACAGTTTTGGGAAAGGGAGAGCCTGATGGGATCTGGATGGGACTGAAGGGAGAAGGGACCTAGTGCACGTCAGGGAAAGAAACCTAAAGACAACAAAAGTACCATAACGAAAAAAAAATAAGGAGAAATTACAACAGAGAAGATAAAAGGATTATCAAATCTCTTATACATAGTAATAGTAAAATTGTATATTTAAAAGAGATTGAAAATATTCTCTCAATATTCTCTCAAAAATACTCAAATTAATATAAAATAAAATAAGAGATCTTAACTCAGTTTCAGAAAATAAAAATGAACAAGCCAAAAAAGAAAGGTCTCCTGCATATGAAATGATATTTAACCTAAGTCTTAAAGGAGGCCAAGGATTCCAAGAGGCAAAGGTGAGGGAGAAAATGGAGGAGGGCCAGCAAGAAAAGGAGAAGGATGGAAGACAGAGGGAGGAAGCAATAAGAAGGCCAGTATACCTGGAACAAAGAGTGTGTAGAAGGCAGTAAAGTCTAATAAGATTGGAAAGATAGGAAGAGGCCAGGTTGTGAAGGAAACGCCAGGGAACTTTACATTTGATTTTGGAAGTAATAGGGAGCAACTAGCTAAAGGTTTTATTGTATAGATGAGGGTCAGGGGAGAGAGTGGAAGGAGATGGTATGGTCACTTTGGTTGCTGCCTGCAGGCTTTCACTCCCTGGAGGTCTTCAAGCAAAGGCTAAAAGACTACTTGTCAGATGTGTGGTAGGAGGGTTCTTTTCCAGTTATGGGTTGGACCAGACAGCCACTGAAGTCCCTTTTGATTCTAAAATTCTGTGATCCTGAGTGAGCGGTATCTTAGCTTGATGGGTATATGAAATGTCAGCATACACATACACATATACACACACACCCCTATATATCTTTTTATGCATATATATGCATTCTCAGCATTTATTTCAGCATTTGTTTTATAGCATTTCCTACTATAAAACAGCAGTCAAATTCCAGGGTCCATAGACCACTTCACAAAGGCCAAATATCACCTGAGCCACTTAGCCAACCCATTACTGCTAAAAATTTAACCAGAAATACTCACTCACCGGCCATGCATCTCTTTATTACCCCCTGGGTAATTCACATTTTTAAATGTTCAAAGTCTGAAATATTTCATAAATTATGGTAATTCAACACCACCAGTAGAATACTAGTATTAAAAAGACAGGCCTTTGTTTCAGGGAAAAGTTTGGGGTTGTGGAGAAGTTTTACAATTTCCCAAACACAACCTAGCCTGCTCTCTTTCTCTTGCTTAATTTGCTTAATTCTGGGTTTACCTCAGGTCACCTGGTCACAGTGTCTGTCCATCTCTCTCCCTCTCTCTCTCTCTCTCTCTCACACACACACACACACACACACACACACACACACACTGATGGGCAAGCTCTAAAGGTTGTCTAACTACATGACCTATTCTGGATGACAGGCATTCTTCATCCACTTGTTTGTTTTTTGCTAGATGGATGGTTAGTTGAAACTTGTGAATGATTACAGGACTCATCCAGGAAGCTTAGTGATGTTCTAGGGCTTGAGGTAAAAAACAGAATGTCTAAAAATATTTGGAAGACCTCATCATCTATAAGAAGCCAGTTTATACGTGGAAAATGATTAGGGTCTCCTCTCCAACAAGGGCAAGAATACTGCTATTTAGCATGTATCTCTGTTTTATGCCTTATATTAATGATCACATGATAGATAAAGGTTATCTTCATTGTTAAATCTTTCAAGGAATCCTACATACTTTTGATGTATGTATGCAAGACACTTTGGTGAAAAAGAATTTTTAGGCTAGTGTTTTGTTCTAACAAATCAAATGCTTTTTAAAAATAGTCAACAAACAATAAGCACAGTACAATCTTGTATTCCCTCATTTTTCAACTTATCATGTAATGGTAAAGATGGTCCAGCGCAGCTAAGTGGTGCAGTGGATAGTTTGCCAGGCCTGGAGTCAGGAAGATTCATCTTCCTGAATTCAAATATAGCTTCAGATACTTACTAGCTGTGTGACCCTGGCCTAGTCACTTAACCCTGTTTGCCTCAGTTTCCTCATATGGAAAATAGTGGGAAAAGGAAATGGCAAACCACTCCAGTATCTTTGCCAAGAAAACTCCAAATGGGGTCAGGTAGAGTTGGACACAACTGAAAATTGACTTGACAACAAATAAGATACGGTCTATTGTACCTACCTGTTCTTTACTTATAATCCCTCATTAAACCCTTGATGCATATACCAATTATTCTCATAACATTTTAAATAGTTGGGGAAGTTGACATATAGGTCAGTAGTTGTTGATATTCTCTTAGGTTGCTGTTTTTTCCCACTAAAGTCTCTGATAGAGAAGGTTTTGGCACATGCAGTAGGAATATTTTCTCAGTTTCCAAAGAATTGTGTAAAAATACAAGTTAATGTTTTACTACATTCATTTCGCACTAGGTTTGTAGTCAAGAGGTAATGGTAAACTACAGAATATATATTTGAATTTCAAGAGGTTTGATAACATGTAGGTAGAGAACATGCATAGATGTTATTTGCACTGTTTAAAAGATATGCTTATCCTCTGAATACACGTCTGTCTTTTTAAAATGCCACCATTTTTCATGCAATGGAACAAATTGGGTAAAACGTGGCATTAATCATCAACTAAGTCATAACCTCACAGGGTATACCTTTTCTGTTCTTGTTTTGTAGAGATACCATAAAATGACTAAACTGGAAGCGATCTAAGAGGTCACTAAATCCAATCCATACCTGAACAAGAGATTCTCCCCTTCACCCTACAACATGCCTGACAAGTGGCCATGCAGTTTTTTCTTGAAGAACTTAGGTGACAAGGAACCCATTATTTCCTAGAGCAGCCCACTCCCCTTTGGGTAGATCCATCTATTAAGTAATCAAGCCTAAATTTGCCTTTTTTAAAGCTTCCAACTCAGTGTTTATAATTTTACCCTTTAGGCCAAGCAGAACCGCTCAGATCTATCCTCCACACAAAAGCCCTTCAAATATTGGAAGACACTCTCATTTCACCTCTAACTCTTACATCTTCCAAGCCAAACATCCTCAATGTCAAATGGCTGAAAATGTCACCCATATCTAATTATCTTGATGGAAGGAGTACAGGAAAGGAAACTACTGGAGAGAAAATACTAAAAAACAAATGACAAAGTAATGATTTGGACTAATTTTATCTGTTATAGTTTCTTCCTGACTTTGTCAAATTCAAATGTAACTATCTCATTCTGATTATCACTGATGACAGGAAAACATAACCTGCTGTAAGCATTTATTGAAATGAAATCTCTATACAGGAAAAAAATTCTTCAAGTTTATTGTTCAGTTTTATTTTAGCAAAAGTTTACATTCATGATTATAAGTTCTATAAAAAAGACTACCAGAAGGCAGTATATAAAAGTTACATGTTATTAGGGGTTTGTTAAGGGGAGTGACTGTACATAAACTTCAGTTATAGATAGCTAATAACTACCAAAATACTGGAGCTATTTCTTCTTTAAAAGTAGAGTGAAAAATTGTTTTTGTTTTGAAAAACAAATAACAGGGTTTTCATGCTTTCTCTGGCATCACAATATTACATTACTATATCTTTTTCTTCTTTGTACTATCCTATAGAAAAAAAGAGCAGGACCACTAAGGATAGAGAACTAGAGAAAAGATACTCTCTTATTTTCCTATGCCAATGTTTTACCTGATAATTGAGGAAAATCACCAAGAGGGATATTTTGGATATCAACTTATTTAACAACCCTGAAGATATGACTCTAAGAGAGGCTAATGGTAAATCAGAAAGGGACATTATAACCAAGGTCCAGGGAGATCAGAATTAGATTCAGTTGGAATTGATAATAACTAAGGTTAACAAGATGTGACACATTGTTTCTTTCTTTTTTTTTTAAAGCTTGCTTTATAGGAATTATATATGCCCTATCATTTAATCTATTCTATTAGTTAGTGTTTAGGTTCAGTTGTTTTACCTAACATTATTTTTGATTTTTTAAAGGGATAAAAAATAACATCTGATATCTTGGTATGAGATTCTGGACAAGTACTTTAATCTCTCAGTGCTCCCAAAGGGACACTCTAATATATATGGGTTGCCATACAGTTGCAGACCTGCACTGGTAGAGAATTTCCTCAATGGAAGATCTCCACGCTACTGAAAATAAAGGTCCAGAGTTTTTGGGTTGTTTTTTTTTAAAGAACAAGTTCAAACTTGATATAGATCTTAAATAGAATATAGTACAGTCTGGATCACAGATGATATGAATGAACTGGATCACTGCATCTTAAAATTCTTGAGCTCTTAAAAAAATAAAAAACTCAAAAGGAAAATAAACAGCTTAGGTAAAGCACTGGAAAATCAGCAAAATAGTGTACCATTTTTAAAAATGGAAGAAACTCAAGAAATTCAATAATACGATAAGGAAAGGAACAAAATAAAAAA